TCTTCATCTGATAATTGCTTGCTTATTATCTTCTTGCTAACTGATGCCTCTTAATAGCTGGTAAAATTTAAAAAAAAAAAAAAAAAAAAAAAAGGAGAGTGAATTTGAATACTGTTCCCTCCCGGAGGGGAAATTAAGCTGTCAATAATGTGCTCAAAGCAGACTTGTCTCTGGGCTCTGCCTTTGCTTTCATCCATATGGGGAGCCCGTAGCTGGTTCTGCATCGTTTGTTTTGTCTTTCTGGTTGCTCTTAACATTAATTGAATTTTTTCCCAAGATGCAGGTTTTGTTAATCTGCTTTTTCTCATTTCCCCCCCTACCCTCCACTAACTTCGACGGAAGTGCTCTAACATGTCTTGGGGGGAAAAAAATCTTTGTTTTTCTAACCTTAGTGGTCTCTTTATTCACCTGTTTTTACTAGCTGGTATTGTTACGGCTTTATTCTTCATCCAGCTTCTGTATGTTATCTAACTGATAAAAGAATAAAAGGGGCGATAAGTCAAGGTTTGTTATCAACTCCAATTATGCAAGATGTGTTTCAATTAATCAGCCATAATTCCTTTCTCTGCCCTTTCCCCCCAGACTAAACAAGCGAGATGATCCTGCCTTCAGGATCAGAAGTCCTGAGCTACTTGTGGAATCTGCTCCCTTGCTGTGCAAAGGTGTGACAGGTAGTGAGGTGACTGTGTAAAGCGGGGTGCTCTGTGAAAGGGGCTTATGTGGAATGGCAGTTTCAGGGCTGCTTTGTAAGACGGAAAACAAGTGTCAATAACTGAGCAAAATGTGCACGTTTTTGACTCTGAGATTGTTTTCTGCTTTTGTAACTTGCTTTTTGTTCGTAAGGACACTGCTCCCACATTCCTAACTCCGTCCTTCATTTCCATCCATGTGGATTGTCAAAAGGAGGATTTTTGCTTTGTGGTGAGTAGCTGAGCACCTCCAGTGGGTAGAGTTCGCAAAGCTGAGCAGATGCTGCGACTCCTCTGGGGTTTGGTGGCACCTTCTTTGAGGAGAGGGGGACAAAGCCTCATCTTGGACACTCCATCGCTCACATCAAAGGTGGGCAGTCTCTCCCTCTCTTTGCATAGGGAGCAGGTAGAGTGTTGGATTTCTTTTTCCAGTCTCTGACAGAGATGCACGGGCCATTTCAGACCTTTTCTCCCTGTAAGACTGGAGCGTCTCTGCAGACGTCACATGTAGCCCTTGGCTGGGGTTTATGCAGCTGTAGTTTCTCGTGACAGAGGCAGAGGACAGAGGATGCGAGGCGGCACTGGAAGCTCCTGATGTTTATCTGTAAGGGTCAAGCTGGGACCCGTTGCAGCCTGGGACGTTTCAGAGCCTCCTCTTCACCAAAGCTGAGGCAGCCTCGTTGCTTTTTTAGTTTCTTTAAAGCAAATAAAACCCTCCGTGGGATGGAGCAAAGTCATTTAGCTCCTTTTCGGTCTGCTAGAGTGCAACTAGAGCTGCTTTCTGCCTCTCTGCTGAAAGGCTCGTGAAGCTAAAGGCGCTGCCTTTGAAGCAGCCTCCGCTTCCATAGCTCTAACTCCTTTTTCTAAGTGGCGAATGAAGAAAAATCCTCCTTGTTCGTTTTCCCTAGGAGGCATGCTGACATTACAGGAAAATAAACCGAATGAGAGACCTGACATGTACTTAAACGGTTGCAGGAAATTTTCAGGCTGTCCATTTAGACTTGTTAAATGATGTGTGTCCGAATATGGCTATCCGGAGGGCGAAAAAAGGGAAGCTTGTTAATAAATGGGAGGGAAAGGGAAACAGAAAGGGACAGAAGCAGGCAATTCTGAGAGAGACAGCAGCCGCCCCCTCGCATCCTGCTGCTGGGCTTAGGTGTGTGAAGCGGGGTTGCCAGGCAGCACAGTGCTCTGCAAGAGGCCTTCACACCGACGGTGGTCTAAATAATTTATAGTAGGCAAGGAATTCATTATCTAGCTTGTGGGCACGTTGTGGAGATTGCTTTTCCGTTGCAGCCCCATAAACCATGTGTGAGAATGTAGCTCATTTGCCTGGGAGACTTTGGGGATAGCATCTGAAAAGAGACAAGCGGAGTTTTTAAAAACCTGCAGATGACGTTTTTTAGAGGTGTTTTTGAACACCTCGGGGTTCTCACGTGCTGGGTGAGTCGGTAAGGCCGCCGGCGAGGCGAGCAGAGCCCCAAGCAGAGCCCAAGGGAGCCGCGGAGCCGCAGCAGCTCTCCCCACCGCCCGCCCCTGGCCGCACACGCGCCGGCCGCTGCTGCTTGAGAATCATTCCTGTTGCTTATTTAGGAAGATAATTTAATAAGCAGTCTCATTTGGGTTGTTACATGGAGACGTGACCAGCTCATCCGTGAGGGCTTGGGAAAGTTGGTTTATAGCCCAGTCTAAGGGTTGTTTTTTAATAGTAAATTGTTTTTTAATGCTAACTAAATGGAGTTTCTACCTTGCTGTTTTTATAGTGTTTTATTCAGGGATCTGTGCTTTGCTTGAAGGAATAAATGTAGAGAGAGGTGTAAACTGTAAATTCACACATGTAATGGTGTGCAAGATGGAGTTGAAGTGAAGGAAAACAAAAGAGAACTGTTCCTTATTTGCAATACCTGTGAAGTGGCAGTGGCTTCCTTTACCTTGCTGTAGCAAGAGCTCGTCTCTGCAAGAAACTATCCTCATCTCAAAGTCTGTTTTGAGACACAAGTGTCAAGTTTGGTAAGTTTGGTTTCTGCAAGGCTGGCCATGAAGCTGCCCTGTGAGGAATTCATCCCTTGGTAACAGTGAGGGACTGCTCAGTGAGGAAGCTGCAGCTTCCTATCCCGAGGGAGGGAGTAGCTTTTTCGGAAGAAAAG